GGCTCTGTACCATCGTCCTCCGTATCCATGGCAACAAAGTATCCATCTTCATTGTCAGGGGAGCGGGACATTGTTGTCTGCAGAGGCAAGGGGAGACATGCTAGTAATGTACACACTAATGCTCATGTTCACCGTCTGCCAGATTCAGCCAGACTACAGTATTGATTAGAACTGGTCACCACGTCCTTCCTGACGTATATGTTGAGTTCCTGCATTTGAAATATAATGAGGATGTCGCCTCACACAAAACTGACAGAGGTTAGGTCCCACCTAGGAAAACGAAAGACGCTGCAAAGCTGTGTTCAACGTTAAATGGTGAGGCATTTAGCGTTCAGCAAGCTCAATTGTCACATCCATTGTTTTAAACGGGTGGTACCCTTTCTTTAAAGTGAGCAGCTGGCCCCTCCACACAGCACGTCCCTCTTATATCATTAGCTTCGTCTAACTAGCTGTCGTTAGCCATCACAAAATAAATGAAATACTGGGTTGCTAATTATCACCCAAGGCTAGCTAACGATGTATGTGAAGATGAACCAAACTTGTCAGATTTGTAAAAGAGGAATGACTTTTACTAAAAAACCACTGTTTCACTGAGTAACCGAGCCGTACATGATCATGAATTTGATCCTGAGAGAATATATGCTAGCACTGGCTAACGCTAGCTAACTTCTGAGCATCCAAGCTAACGTTAGCTAACATCAATGACTCTCAAGCTAACGGTTTACAGCTACAGGTTTCTTGAAAATACATTCGCTCGACAAAGTATGAAAACCTCTCACTTCTTAACTTTAACACAGACACGTTTCGTTTTTAACAAATTAATCTAACGTTATCCTACCGGCTAACAAGCTAGCTGATATCTCCAGTCTTGTCTGCTGCTGATAATCTTTGCTAACGTTAGCTTCACCAGAAGGCTGTGTGCTGTGCTCCCCTAATGTCAGACTCTCTGTCAGGGTTCCCCCCCTGAAAACCGTGTCAATTTCAGTCCGTAACTGCGGAAGTCTTGTCAATACCGTTGGTTCAGACGCGTTCTTTTCAGGGCTCTGATCGTGTGTCTTTCCTCGCCTCCTCCCCGGTATCAGCTCCGGAGATTCCGCTGCAGCCTCCAAACAGTCGCCATCTTCCGCTTTATAACCAGCGTCCTCCGCAGCACAGCGACGCTCCCGCAGCCGCCGACCGTCTGAAGGTACCAGGGTGGGTCCACAGCCCCGAGCACTGCGCCCCCAGCTGCTGTGGGCCACCTACTGAACGTGTTCGCCGGTGGATGTGGGGATTATTACCATTCTTAAATATATATATACTGTGCACGTAATTCTGTAATGTAACAGTAATCTGAGAAAATCAATCAAGGATGTGTGATGCTGGAGATGAGGAAGTAGCTCCACTGTGTGAGATCACCTAAATGTCAGATGATTCAGAATTGTACCACCTCCTGATAATTGCAGCACTTCTAAATTGAAAGGTGTTTACTTTTATGTAAAATTAAAAATTAACAGTTGACAAAATACAAAATACAAACCCAACTGTGGAAACTCAATGCAACAAAAGTCAGCACACCCTTCATGACTAAGAATTAAATCTTATCTTCTTTTATTTTCTATCCATGTATCTGTATTTTTGATAACAGACTCAAATCTCCTTTGCACACAGGACGCCAGTGTTTCACTAAATCCTGGAGCGATGTGCTGCCATTCTTCAGAGACTATTTCTTGCTTTGCTGGAGGGGTTGTGTTGTTCTACATTTCTCTCTAAAAAACAAAAAAAAGATCTTCTACCAGATTCAAGTCAGACAACTTACTTGGTCAAGTCAAAGTATTTGCTTTTTTCTTCTTTAGAAACTCTCGTGTGTTTTCTGGCAGAGTGCTTCAGATCGTTATCGTGCAGGAATATTTTTCTTCTGCCGAGCTTCTGTGTACTCTGAGTCCTGTAGTCAGCCAGTATTTTAATATATCAACAGACATTAATGGTAACATCTATAAATGTCCCCCTTTTGCTCTCACACAGCCCCGTGGTAACATACTGCCACCCCCGTGCTTCACTAGTGGGGCTATTCCTTCACTGTGGTAGATTCACACCAAACAGGATCCGATCTGCGCTGAACGCTTTTTTTCTGGGTCTCATCTGACCAAAGAATGGGCCCCCAGCATTCGCCAGGCTTCTTTTCTTGTTCTACAGCATTATTTTCATTTTGCAGTTTTGTACCACACAGCAAGCGAGGATGTTTTTCTTGGACACCTTCCACAGAGGCTGACCTTATGTGCTGTATGTCACACTGTCTAAGCTGTCGCAGAAACTGTAATTTCCCATTGCTAAGCACTTGTGCCTCTGTTTTCCAGAGCTGCATTGTTCAAGCAGTGCACTGTCCGTGGTGTCACTTCAGGAGGACGACCACCGCAGTTCTGATTAGTGGTTCTATGGCTTTCTCTGGGCCTCCTGATCATTGCTGCACCTGTGTTTGAACCGATTTTTAGTTGGTCACCAATCGCTCTGTATCATTTCCCAAGTTTGTGAAATCTCACCATCAGATTTTTCTCCGGTAACTCTTTTCCATGTGAAGTCAGGATGCAGACATGCAGATAGAAGCAGATCAAAGGTCCTTTGCAAGTCACTTTATAACTTCATCCATGCGGATAGGCTAACTGGAAATCACAGATGTATTCAACTTTGTTTCACAGGTTTTCCAAATTGTGCATCCGTGATCACAGATGTATTCACTCTTGTTCCAATAAGCTTCTACTTTGAGGCCTGTATTTGGAATATAGTCATATTTATTTTTGACTGTTGATTATTTTGATTGTTCATAAGTTAAAATGCTGTACATGTCAACTTAGAAATAATGCAGTTGAGAGGTGACACAATTTTAAATCATTGCACAGAGAAGTTCTCACTTCTGCTGAATACGGTGTGGAAGAGAAACCGCAGATCAAAACAACATTTATGCATAAATCTGTAGTTAACGTTGGTTTTCAGGAAAAATAATGTTGGTTGTTGAGTAGGAGACCCACTGACGCATAAATGTTTGAAATGTAGTGCAGCTGAGAATGTAACTGCTGGCTTTTAATACGAGTCCTGTGCATTAAAAAAAAGACAGAAAAAGAGTCATCATCTTCTTGGTTGTCATAATTTTTTCTTGATAACATAATTCACCATTTTTTTTTTATTATTGATTTGTTTTAAGAGGTTGGCTTGTCCATATTCAGGCTGTTTGAGTTGGTTAATGGGCAATATACAGAATAAAGCAACACTTTCATACTCTGATTCCACTCACCGAGCATCCATAGCTTCTGTCATATGTTTTATTCATGCTACATTTACTATAATACATACATCATGTTTATTCATATTAATATTTACTGTTAACATGCACATGTTTGCTGTTGGATAAAGACCAAATTCTGCTCCTCTGCACACTGGGGATGTTCTTATAAATAATATATAGGAGTAAAAAAATCTCTTAATCTCTTAATTCTACGAACAGTAAAATAAAAAAACACTATCTATACAAAAAGAAAGACAAATAACTTGCTGCTACGGTTGTTGACAGCTGTGACACGAGCAGGCCGAGTGTTGCTTTGTTTTTACTGTCTTTATTTGAGATTGTGCTTTTCACAAAAAAGACTTTTCACTTACTTGTGATGGAAAGAAAAGGCGCAGGTGTTATTATTAACACTCTATTACTAATAACAGTGGCTCTGCTCTAGTGTATCAGTACGTGATGGTAGTGTGACAGCATGCTCAATACCCTGATACTAAAGTCACTGAATAAGATGCAACACATCATTTATTGTTTTATTGCTTTTATATTTATAATTTTCTTTATTACTTTTTGAATAGCTTCAAATTTCTACACTTGCTTTTTTACTTTACATCTAATATTGTTATTTTTCTTGAAGCTGTTCATTTGACTTGCAGCACCTCCTTTAAAAATCTTAAACGCTTCATTACATTTTTCTACCAGTCAGTGTTTTACTGAAATGCACCACAATCACATTAAAGTCCTCATACGTGAAAATATATTTGGACATAAAGTGCATTCTGATTCTGGAAGTTATATATAGGGAGCATTTTCAAAACTGAGCTTTGCTAAATGTCCCAACCTGGTGCTAAATACTGCTAAAGAGTGCAGAGTTCATTCAGCTGAGTGTCACTGGTGTCCTCTGACCTCCAGGACTTCTCCTCTTTGCTGACGTTTGCAAGGAAGCTAAGGGGGATAATACTGAAAAGTAAGGGGCTATAGTTAGCAATGCATGTATTTTATAAAAACAATTTTAAAAAAAAGGTTTGATCTGATGCTTATGATAGGTTAGCAAACTCTATAGATCTTTAACTGTTGTGTTCAGTTGTATCAGGCTAAAATAGGTCAACCTAAACAATTTAAACAACATTTTGGTGAAGATATGAATTTACAACATTGGCCAGGTCAGAAGCAGTTTTATCTGTTGGACATAATGCTCACATTCGGATCCACATCTGGTCATAATCCACTAAAAGTGCATGAAAACATTTTGAGACGCTGTGCGCTGAAAACAACTGGGGATGACTAGCTCGCCCTGCTGCGTTCACGACACCACGTTCATTTCCACACTCAGTTGCTAGTTACAAATGTGAAGTTTGATCTGTTGCTAATCTCACCGAACAGACAGGTGATATTCTAAACAATGTATGATTTATGGATTTATACCTTAGTCCTACTCTCGCAGCTAACCGCGCTAAGCAGAAAAAGCATGATTGTGGTCCTGTGATTAACTCTTGTGTAGCGTGAGTGTGTTCCTCGGTGACCGGTTCGACACGTGAAGGCACCTTATCAGCCTCATCCAACTCCTGTAAAAAAAATTAAAAAATACTAATAAAAAAGACAACGACAGCTCGGTGCAGGGAGTGTGTCACTCAGAGACAAGCTACCACATTATTGCAACGAAATTAGCTTTATTTAAGTGTAACAGTGAACTTGTTTCGTCCTGCTGGAGGCTCCGTGAGTTGACGCTACCTGTCTAAGCTAACGCTACAACGTCATTTCCCTTGATCCAGTGTTAACGGTTAAACTTGAGAGGTGTAGCTTAGCTAAGTGTTGAACCTCGGCTCTGACGGCTGTAACTGTGAAAATATACATCCATACAGTGTACAGTTATTGGTTTTCCGTCTGAGCAGCAGTGACCGGGGTTAATTTACGGAGGTGGACGTGACGCTAAATTTAAAGTAATAGACAGCCGGAGGGGGGTTGCCCTCAGTACAGCTCTAAGCTAGCAGGCTAACACGCGGCCAAGGAAAGCTTTGCGAATTTGTTCCTCCAGCCGTCATTTGACCACGAAACTCCGTGAGACCGAGCCCCTCCGCCGGTGTCAGTGAGCGCTGCCCACCGTCCCATGCCCTCTGCGTGGATGGGATATAGTTAGCCGGTGGAGCGAAGAGGCAGCCAGCCAGCAAGCAGTCCCGTTCAACATGGAGGATGAGGAGGTTGCAGAGAGCTGGGAGGAGGCAGCGGACAGCGGGGTGAGAAACACGGACGCTGTAAACAAGCTTTGCTCAACACACCGATATCAGTTCGACAGCGAAGCTAACACCTAGCAAGATAACCCGCCATAGCGCTTGAAAACACACACAGGGGTTCTCCTTTTTGCTATTTCGGCTTGTGTTTCTGGGTTTCTGGCTTCCTGGCTCCGTCCTGCAGGCCCCGCTGTCCCGTACCGACACGGGACCGAGCCTGCCTCCATGTCAGTTCATTAGCTGAACAGAATGAGTGTGTTTTTGTGTGGAAAAGACGAGAAATATCCGCACAGTAACCGTATTTTAACATGTTTTTGTTCTTATTATACCTTCATTTTGTAGACACGCCCATTGCGGAAATGACAGGCTGCACTGAGGTGAATCATGACAGGATCACAACAGTGTTCAGGGTTACTGACAGAGAATAGATGGGCCACATTTCTCTGCTGTGTGCTGCCAGAATGATTCAACCCGCTGGATTTCACTGTGATTGTGTCTCTAATCTGTCTGTAATCTAACTTAATATTTTGGTGGAAAACAAAACATTTCCAAGTGACTTTTGTGAGAGTGACATAATGACTGATTAGCTGCAGCACTTGTTTCATGATTTTGAGCAACTTGAAATTCAGAAGCTGAAAATGTGTTGGATGTAATCTGATGCTGTAAAGTTTATGGTGTTGGCTCTCCACCGGCTAAACACTACATATGAATTTCAGCTTCTGTCTGAAAATAACTCTAGTTGTGCTAAGTATGTAACATCATACATGAAGAAATGCTAAACTAACACCACATAGTGTAAAGGTCGTCATCTGTATGCATACGTATGACAGCATGTGCTGCACGTCCTGAGGTTTCTCTCAGCGCTCACATGTTGCGCATAATCTGCATACTTTTTGGATTCAGTGCCGCTTCTGTTTTTATAGCTTTTGTAGAATAAATGTGATCATGCTAACAAAAAGCTAAAACAAATGAAAAACTAATCAGTTCTCTGGAAAGCTAGTTTAATGTACAGTATGTGACACCCTCCGTGGTGTTACATCCTCAGAGTGTATTGCAGATTCTTCACAGCGTGTTGCTGCCTGCAACACACAGCGAATCTGTGTGAAGCTTTTACCTCACACGCTTTGTTTTGTGGTCACCAAGAGTGACAGTAGAGTAAATGGTAATTCATCCCTCATGATTGTCAGGGATCACTGGTTTGTAAGGATTCAACTACGTCCCAACACTTTTTTTAAAGCACGTTTTCTTACAAACCAACATTAAAGTTATGATTTTGTGAACATGTTTGCTGAACAAGTGGATGAGACGGATGTGAACGTGTTGGATAGAAATGAAAGTGATTATTGAATGTATGCGTTTCTTTCTTCAGGAAATCGAGAGAAGACTTGAGGCGAAGCTGAAAATAAATCAGGAAGCAAAGTGAGGAACCACAAAATTTATTAAATTTTCAGCATATTTATACCACCTTCTTATTTATTTCTTTATTTTTGTTTTGTTTTTGCAATAATTATACACCACTTACACATTCTCATCTTTGCAGGAAGACCAGTTTGAAATCTGGCGGTTCACCTGTGCGAACGGCTATTGTAATCCAGGATGACTCTCTGCCTGCGGCGCCCCCACCACAGATTCGAATTTTAAAGCGTCCCACTAATAACGGTACCACAGGAAACCCCGCGTCCTCGTCTCGTCCCTCTCAGCAGATGAAGTCTTTGGCCCAGCGTGAGGCAGAGTATGCAGAAGCCCGAAGAAGGATCTTGGGTAGTGCTTCTTCAGAAGAAACGCCTCAGGACAATCCATGCCAGGACAGGTAAGACACGAGGATACCAACAGCACAGACAACCAAAACTTAATGGCATAGTTGGTAACATTTACAAGAAAATACCAGAAGAGAAAAACACTGTTATATAATTTCTTCCCATTTCTCCTCGTATCATTAGGACAGCTCGTATGAGTGCGCAGCAACCATTAGAACCAGTTCGTCCAAACAATCACGCGATCCGCCAGCCCACTGGCCCAGATGGCACCTCAGGCTTCCGACTCTGCAGATAAACAGAAGCTGCCTGCAGCAAGGAATCGACTGCCTCGCTGAGAGGACATGAAAGGTGACGGTTAAAGGGGTTGTTTGTAGTATGAAGAGCAGAGTGGTGGGATGACAGACATTAGAAAATTTGACAGACGTTAGAAATATGAAGATGTAGCATGGATTTAGATGAACTTCTCCACCCTCTCTCTACTCTGCTTACTGGTGTGGTCTTTGCCTCTTGCCTTGTCTTTTCCCTCTGTGGAACCTTGCAAGGGGCTGGCAGAGATCAGCCAAAGATCTGAAACCCCTTCTGTTCCACACCGTGAACAGGCGTTTGCCTCACATCCCTACACACTGTGATACTCCGACGTACCATGAGGTGCCCTATGATTTTAAGTCTGATTGGCCGGCCGAGTGCCAGGGCATCAGGTGTCTGTCTCCTCAGGGAGATAAAGGAGAGCTTGTGAATCTGTGGGAATCCCCCAGAGACGTGCAAGCGAACGAGCTGGCCTTTCCACAGATGGAGCGTGGATCATGGCTGGGTGTCCACCGGGAGGCTGGCCTTAGTTTGTTGGGTTCAGTGGAAATTATGTGCTGGACAGTGCTGGGAGTTTATTGTGTGTTCAACAGATTTACGGGCACTGATACAAAGTTGTACTGATTGAGCCTTCTGAGTTAAAGTGCACTGTGCCCAATAATGTGTTTTAATACTATAGTTGACAGCAGAGGCAGTCGTGGCCCAGAACTCTCTACAGTCCACAGGCCTCTGTTTGGTGCTGGTGGCTGGAAGAGAAATGCCCGGTGGGCACGCAGCCCGTGGCCAAAGATGACATAGTAGATGCGAAGGACAGTGTCACTAAATCTAAGCTTTTTTGAGCAATAATAAAGAAATGACTCCCTGGATTTTTTTTTTTTTTTTAAACATATTGCTGTGTTTTGTTTTACACCGTGTTGTTTCTTTTTCTGAAGCATAGTCTGTTTAGGTCAGGACATCAGTAGTGTGGAAGAGACTAGATTCTGTAGCCTGCATCGGAAACTTTATTGGTCGTGTCATTGAATTTTATCAAATTTGCAAACGTCATAATTTAAAAGTCTAAAGTTGTCGTGCAGAAATTTCCCTGTGTGTGTTGCCTTGCTGTTTCCTATCAGAGTAACTACGTTGGAACTTCTCTTACAGCCAGCTGCACTGCATCTGCTTGGAAAATCTAATTTGGGTGTGTTTTTACACCAGTTGCAGTTTGTCGGCCAACTGCGTGCTATTAAAATGATGGTTTGTAAGTTATAACTATTTCATGTCCAGCGCGGTGGAGGGTATAATCTGTTATTTCATGTTGGCAAATCTTCTGCCAGGGTCAGGGAAATTTGTGATGAAAACTATTAAAAAAAAAAAAAAAAAAAAAAAGATACAAAAATACTGGAAAACCTTTTAATCAGTGGCCTCTAGAATGAAGCCAAACTCCACTGCCTGGTTTTGATGAATGTCTACTTGTGGATTTTTTCAGTATCGTCTGCTTGTCTGCCACCAGTTGAAAAGAAGAGCTCGCAAACCATAGAATCAACAATATAGTCAAACGCCAGAGTTACCAGTATTGATCATTGATATCGCAACAAATGAACCTGCAGAAGGGTTTGAACCTTTTGACACTTTTATGCCTTAAATGATAAATGATCCCTGGTTACCAACGTTCACCTTCCACTCGGCAGTGCTGGTTAATCTTAGTGCTTTTTGTGTGATGGGTTTGTTATTTCACCGACTAAGTCCGGCATTAAGGCACAGTTTATGGCTGCACTTGGCGAGAATTTAGGCAAATCAAACACCACATTAAGTGAGGATGCCTTGATGCTTTTGTTACTGAATGGCCCCATGACTGTGCTTTAATTATGAATACATGTTTTCAGCTTCAGTAATATTTACAATGAGTGTGAAGAACTGAAACCATGATTAACAGTAAAATGCAGTAAACCTGTCGAACAGCTAAAAGTGTTGCATTGATGCTACCTGTTTCAACCCCAGTAGCTGCTTTAAGGATATATATTCAGGATCATCTCAGTATTTTTGTTTTATGAGATCATGTTTGTTGTTATGAGTGACATGCAAGTTTGCCTGCTAGATTTGGACCTACGCCACTAACAATACAGACCCATGATGCACTGTTCCCAGGGATCAGGTTCACTTATTGAAACAAAATGGATTTGTAGTAAGTTCTAATTGATAATCGATGAAGCAAACACCCATCCTGTACCTGTGTGATCTACCCATGATGCTTTGTTGCAGCCTTTCACAGCCACCTGTCTAGTTTGAGGCTCATTTGATGTCATTGTTGTTTTGAAACTTGAAAAACACAAATTAAATTTGAATACCCTTTAATAAACGCACTTAAAGAAGACACAGCTTGGTTCGTGTTTGTTTTTTGTATTGTGATATCTCGAGCAAGAATAATCTCGATGTTGAATTACATATTTAGAGTATTTTTAACTTGAAACAAATTAAATTTATTTTTTTTATAGTTTTTTGTCAATTAACCTAAAATAATCTTTGGAGTAATGGCATGTAACTCTGTAACTGATGGTCCTTCTTATCCTGTAGATGGGAATAGCTC